TCACACCATCCTCTGAAGGGGTTACCCAAATTGCCGACAGGGAATCAGGACGCAGACCACTCTGGCTTGTTCCATGCTGAACAGGGACACAGGGTGAGGCAATTGGAGCACCCCTTCAGTGGGTCTATCTGAAAGACTCCCAAATTGCATAAGTCTTATCTCTAGGGGGAAAAGAAAGTCCTTGACTGGTGAATAGGAGATGTGAAGGAGAAGTAAGGGCAAGAATAATTAGCATTACAAGTTCTAGACAAAGAACTAGAAGAAAGAACACGGCAAATTTCAAATGTTCATATGAGAGTCCATTGGAATTTCTTGATGAGAGCTTCATAAAGCATCCCTCTATTGGGTTCCTCCTCATGTTTCTTTTGTCTGCCAAGGCTATACTCTAGAGTGATAGATTCAGGATTTGCTTTCAGGCATTTTGATAGCTGTTGAAGTGGTTAGAATCAGTGTCAGTTCCCTCTCGAAGGCTTCTAGATAGAGGCAGAAAACAAATTTATCCATCATTTTAGAACAATAGCTGGTTGTCTCCCTTAGCTACAGGTGGGCACTACAGTATTGCAGACCAAGATTTTAACTTACATCTGAGCAGCACTTTCTGATTAGGAACAAAATCATCAATGAGAAATAATTGTCTAAATAACTTTTTATATGGATTTAAGTCTAATGTCTGAGAAGTGTAATCCCTTGAACTCTTAAAGAAATATACTGATGACTTTACTCTTTGGTTATACGGTTATACTTTCCTTTTGGGTGTTTAAGACCATACAGTTGGCCCAAATAAATTAATTTTTACCCTTAAGGGCTGTTTCTACTGTTTTCCCTTTGTCACTGTGAATGCTCAACCTGTGTCTAATGTTCAACTGAAATCTTTCTGTTCACTTGCTCCTCCCTCTTGTCTTCTCTGTCACTTCGGGAAAATTTCAGGCATTTTTATTGTTCCAAATCTACACCCATTAAGATTCTATGAATTCATTTAGACAGCTTCTACAACATACATGATGCATATGGTTGGGACTGATTCCACTGTGAATAGGAAAATGTGAACTATCACTTGCATTTATAATTGGAAGCTTTCTTTTTCTTTTTTTCTCCTAGTGTTCACATGCGTGAAATCTGCAGGGCTGTCCCAGCAGTTCAGGGAACATCAGGGCCAACTCTTCTTTGTTTTGACTCCTCTTTTCCTTAGTACATGGCTTCCTCCTTAAGATCCAACAGATTAGCTGGAGTTCTATCCATCATATCCTGTCAGCAGGAGGGAGAAATCGTAGAGGGGCACACCTCATCCTTTGAGGTTTGCCTTCTTCCTTATAAATCTCTCCAAGAAGCCATATATTCTGCTTCATTATGCGTAGTGGTACTAGAGCCAGGGGGTGCCAACTTGTGAGAGCCGCTTCTCCTCCCAGCTCCAAATTCTCCATCCTCAGCTGGAAGCTTGATATTAGCCATGGAACATTGTTTATATCATGGAAAATTGGCAAATCCCCAAATTTGGAGCTTCCTGGGCTCTGCCTGAACCCTTTCTTTCTCCCAGAACTGGTTGTGAAACATTTACTAGCAACCACATTCCATTGGGTAGAACTCAGGCACAGGCCGTATCTGGCTGGAATGGCAACTGGAAGATGTTGCTGTTTGTCTAGGTGACTGTTCCTACCTTTGAAAACAGTTAAGTCCAGGGGCCATTGAGATGGCTAAGCAGGTAAAGGTGCTTGCCACTAAGCCTGATGATCTGAGTTCGATTCCCCAGGACCCATATAGTAAAAGAAGAGAATGACTTGTTTCCTGACAAAGTAAACAGAATGTAGTGAAAAACATCATTGAATCCTATGTTGAAGTCCAAGCAAGCATGGCGATAGCCCTTTTTAGTGGCTTTCTCTTGTTTCTCTGTGCCCCATAGTGCCATAGTTATTCTGAATTCAACTAGGTAACTCTGCAACAAATGACCTTCTATGCTGTTACTGTTGCTTTCTCACACATTGATATTTCTCTCTTTATAACCAAAGCCCAGTGAACAGCAGGCTACTATGTTCAATTAACTTCACAAAAGCTGAAAGATACTTTTAGGAAATTGTAGTGACAAGGAACACTTAGCAACATGCCCATATTCCAAGGTCATGACTCCCTAGCTGTCCAAGTCACCCCCTTACTCCAGCCTGCCTTTGGTCCTAGGGATGTTTTGCTCTCTCCTTGGTGGAAATCTATCCTCCCTCAACCAGAAGTAACAGAAACCCTGACATGCAGAAGTTCAGCTCCCATTTAAAGTGCACAAACCAACTTCTCACCCCCACACGTTCTGAAAGTGCACAGGCACCAGATTTTATGAAGAATGCTTTAGTCCTGCAGCATAAACAGTTATACAGTAACTACTTATAAATAACCTAACTTAGCGGAAACTGTAAAGTTGGTTGGCTGTTAAATGGGGTGGAGGTTGTAAAAGCTGCCTAGCTGCTCACTGAAGCAGATTCTATTATGTGAGCTCAACAGAACTGGGTTAGATTGGTTATGAGGCAAGACAGAAACACACCCTAGGAAATGTTAAAAAGAACTAGACAGAAGCAGTATCCTTGTTAAAAACAGAAGCATCCCCACTCTTTCAGCACTATCAAAGTCTGTATCCCATCCACACCCAAACATCCTGCTGAGTTGAAAAGTTGTTTACATTGAAGCCTTTGCAGGGTGGAGGCCACTGAGTGGGAGAGGAAATTGTGATTCTATCTCAACAAGGTCAAATGTGGTAAAAGCACAAGTGCAACCATAATCTGTTTTCTAATATCTGCTGTGGTCAGATGCTGAGGCTAGATGCAGAAGTGGGGCTCCATGGGCTGGAGGAAAGGGCCCCATCCAATGAACAACATGAAAGACATCAGCGGTTTCTGTGTTTCACACAGTGGGAAAACTAAAATGAGAGGTCAGGTCTCTAGGCCAAGTTCTCAGAGGTGCTCATGGGGGAGCCGGAGTAAATAACTAGTCTTTACCCCTAGTCCCTTCTACATTATTTTAGGGTCTAGCGTCAAGGAATAGATTCCTAAGAACTGTTTGAACAAGTATTGTTACTCATGTTTCACTAATGTGGTTTTAGGTCTGCAGATTTGATTCCACCTGTAGGTACTCTGCCAGTGGCTACACTGAGTGTGGATTGTACAATCCTTGGAAGTGCCAGTTCATACCCAGTTATGGGAATGATGCTTCCTGAATTGAGACTGAGGGTAACTGTAACATCAGAATGGAGTGTCTCTGGTTGAGGGATTGAATTAGTTGGCTCCATGATGTTAGTGCTCTGATAGATTTTCTATGGTTCTCTTTTCCTCTGAGTTATAAGATAGCTGCAGTTGCTCTAACTTTAAGTCATCTAGTGTCAGTATCTAAGCTGAAAGGAAGGGCAGATTAAAAAAATGTCTTGCTCACATTTTCTCACACCATTCTTTTGCTGAGGGAGAGTCTTTTCTGAAAGTGTCTAACAGACTCCCTTATTTCTTTGCCAGTCATTGTTAGAGGTAATTAGCTCACCACTATAAAAAAAGACATTGAAGAAAAAAAAAAAACACCTAAAAAGAGATGGGGGAAATCACATGATTCCACCAGCTCTAGCTCTAAGAAACCTTATGGTCTCTAGGCAGGAAGGGAGACACTGTCTCAAAAAGACCAAAAAAAAAAAAAAAAAAAAAAACCCCCCCAAAAAAAAAAAAAAAAAAAAAAACCCAAAAAACAAAACACCAACAACAAAAAACCCCAAAACAACATGCTTCTGTTCCTATGCCTATGGGCAGAGGGTACTGGGAACATGACCAGCGTGATCTGCCATAGATTCATTCTTACATTGAAGATGGAGTGATGTGTTTTAATGTATTTCATGTTACCAAAGGAAAAGAGAAGGTCTAAAAGTATTTAGAAAAGGAGACATCACAGGTGGTTTACAATAGCAACTGAAGTTTACTTTCTCTGTATTGTGTAGAGTAATGACTGTATGGGGTAGTGACTCTGCATGGATAGTGACTATATAGAGTAATGACTCCTTTGGCTTTGTCTGACTTGAGGAGAATCATGCCTTTCATCTGAGGAAGTATATTGGACCCGCAATGCCTCAGCAGCTGTTAGAATTTTCCTTTAACAGCTTCAGACATACTGCAGTTATTTGAGTTTTGTGGATGGGCAGCTTGGGAGCCTGTATATTTCCCTACCTATTTCCTCCAGGGTAGAGTGACAGAAATCTTCTTCTCCAGACAGACATTAGGAAAATAACTTCAAAACACTTAATGTGATGACCAAGCTGATTTCAAAAACATCTGTGATTGAAGAACTGGTTTAGATGGGGGAAGGGCACTAGGGCAATAGAAACGGTACCATTCTTCTCTCCCAGGGCTCACAGATCACTGTAGCTATTTGTGTTGAAGGTTGTGTTAATTAATAAGGTGAAGCGATACAGATACCAAGGAATGCTGGGCATCATTGCTTCATATCTAAGGAGGCAGAACAGCCGGATTCCAAAGTCAGGTGCATCATGAAGACAAGGTTCTTTTATAAATGTGGGGACCTGCTTGGGAGAAATGAGGGCACCAATGGGTTTTGAGAAAAGTGATTCAGAGAATCTATCTTGTACCATTTTGTACCTCTCAGAACTGTGGAGGCTGTGGATAAGATGCTGTTGTCAAAACACTTTCTAGCATTCCATGTGAGCTTCAGAAAAATGTATGGATCTTTGTCATATCCTTTCCTGGGAGGAAAACAGTGGGCTGTCACTGTAAGGTTTCCTTTTAAAGGCATGGACAGCTCTAACTGCAGTAAAGGTCCTTTCTTCCACCTATCTTCCATAAAAAGTTGACAAAGAAAATGGAAAGTGAAATTCCTGGAGCTAACACTGAAGTGGGAAGAGAAGAAACAGTACTTCTCAGAAGTTGTGCTAGAGGACCCTGTAGAAGAGATCTGTAAGATCAGCTTCAACAGGACCAGCCTTGGATCTGGGCAGAACTGACCCTGAGGTTATGCAGAGGTCAACCAACTGCTGGGAACTGCCCCCTGCAAAAGGGCATTTAGGGGATTAATCTCTGAGGATAATGGCCATAAAATCCTGAGAAAAGAGGGTTTTGCATATTCAGTTTGGGTGGGTCCCCTTTCAACAGTGCAGGCAGAGAGCTTTAGTAAACCTGGCTCTCTACAGTTGGTATTGAGGTCAAACTTGCTTATAAAACCTCTAGAGATAGGTTCATTTCTTTAAAATATAAACTTAAGTAGGCATCTCCAGAACATACTATCATATATGTAGTATATTCATGATGTGAAGGTTTGGGGGCACATTATTTATTGGGCAATGTCTCCCATCCCTCTGCTTCCAAATTCTTGACACCCATAAAACTGGTGAAATAGATATTACTGTAGACATGACTGATACTCTTTGAGAGCTAAGACGACCTAATTAAAGTGTGTTATAAGTGTTTTGGGGGCTGGTGAGATGGCACAGTAAGTAAAGGTACTTGCTGCCAAGCTCAGTGATCTATGTTCAGTCCCCAGGACCCACATGGTGGAAGGAGAGAATCAACTCCCATAAATTGCCCTCTGACTCCTACACATGTGATGCCCCCACACATACACCCATATAGAATAAATGTAATTAATGGGCAAGGAACTTACTTTTGAAAAAGTGTTTTTGCAGTGTGAGTGTTAAAGCTTATAAAATAACTCGTTATACAAATTCTGTGTTTGAAAATGGTAAACATAGGCGTACAGGAGTTCACGCATTTTCTATTTTTTAAAGTAGTTCCTCATTCCTGCATTCTCCATGCTTAAATATTATACAACATTTATATAGTTTTGGTACTCATTAATTTTTTAAAAGCCTTAAGGTATTGAGTTCACTGGTCTACTGCTTTCTTGAAAAACAGGTTTTCCTTTGGACTTCCCATTTCATGAAGACTTGGAAAGACAGCATCACCTACTTCCCTCTCTGCAGCTTTGTCCCCTAGAGAAGGACATCCTTTATCATTATCCTACGTCTAGTGGTCAGAATTGGGACATCTGGACCAGGGCTGTTTACTGAGGGCCAATGCTACAAAATCCTGGGGTAGACCCCAGCCCTTGTGGTGTACTTAAACTCTTCCAGAAACAGAGAGGCAGTATTTTGTTTGGGTGAAACACCATGAAGTCGTCTGTATTTGGGAAATTGAAGTGAGTCTGGGCAGGGTACAGAAAACTGTCCTTTCTCCACCAGATTCCAAACTGCCCATTTCCACTCATACAATGGAAGAGAAAGCTAGGTGTAGATAGAGAAATGGGGAACACTGGAAAAAAGTAGAGATCAGTGCGATGTGAGCTACACTTGTATCCATATCTTCATGCAGACTTCTAGGCCGAGAAGCATCTTTGTACTCTGACAGTTGGGAACCAAATTCTAGTTCTATTTGGAGTGTGACTTTGAAAGGCTGGATTTATTTCATTTGTGTAATGGGGATATTGGGCTTATCTATCTAAATTGTTGATTATCAGAATCACTTGAGAGAAATGTAGCCATGAGCTCCTAAGTGCTGGTGTTTAACAGTGATGATATACTTTCCCATACACTATTACTTCTTGAATTTCTGGACTTATGATGTTTGGTTCTTTTTCCACTTGGATGACAAGTGAAATTTGACAGAGTTCCTGAAAACAGGAACAGTTCAATCATGCCATTTTATAAATGCTTGTTCAATCTTCCACTTGTCTATTTGCCCAACAGTGTAACATGTAAAAAGTGTGTGGTGGTTGGTAATGGAGCAGTGCTGAAGAATAAGACATTAGGAGAAAAAATCGACTCCTATGATGTAATAATAAGGTAAATATATCTCCTACTTATTAAACTAGATTTGTTTGAAAAGAACGTGTTTTCCCACTTTAGGACAGCTGCGTTTTAAAATTACTGTCTTTATGTACTTGATTATACCAGTTTCTGCCTTGGTTTCTGGTTATGGTGAAAGCTAGATTTCTAGTCAGTGATTTAGCAAATATTTAATAGGTCCTCTTAATATCCCTGGGACACATTTACCCACAGAGATCACAGTGGGTGAGAATGGCGTTCGTGTTCCCTGTGGTGTTTACATTCTAATGGAAGGAGGTAAACAACAGTAATACATAAGAATACTGGAAGAGGGGCTGGAGAGATGGGTCAGCAGGTAAGAGCACTGGCTGCTTTTGCAGAGGACCTGTACGATGCTGCGTTCATATCCCAGCATCTACATGGTGGCTAACAACCATCTGCAACTCCAGTTCGACACCCTCTTCTGGCTTCCACAGCACTATGTGACATGAGTGCACTTACATCATATATATATATATATATATAACTTTTAAAAATAAGTATAATGTATACAAATAAAAAAGATGATAATGATTGAGTGACTGCTTGGGATGGGTGACCACTTTGAAGAGGAAACATGTAAGTTGGACCTAAGTGACCATATAAGGCCAGCTATAGGAAGGCTCTGGAGGAACAATGCAGAGACTCCATTGCAGGTCCTTAGAAGCTTCCTTCTGAGTTTGTGAGGAGCAGCAGATGTCCCAGTGGAGTATTGGGTTGTGAACTCTGCAGTGGTCTAATTGGAAGCTGAAGAGGTGGGCAAGGAGTAGGCTATGCAGGACTTTTAAAGTCAGGATTAGAAGCTTGCATTTTTAAGTGCAATCGGAGCTTTTGAAGGCCTTTGGACAGGAACTTACTGAAATCTGGTTGTCTTTAAAGTATTCTGGCTGCAGCAGACAATGGAACATGAGGGACAAGTTGGGGTATGAGGCATAGTTAAGTTGCTGTATTTGGGCAGCTGATGCTGGTGACTTGGGCAGAATTATCATGGAAGAGAAATGGGAAAGTGGACAGACAAAATTTGCTGTCTTATTTGATGTGAGGAGCACTGCAAATAAAGGAAGCAGGCATTTTTCCAATTTTTTTCAGTTTAGTAAACTGGGTGAGAATATAATTTAGCAAGTTTGTGGGAGATTGGTATAGGCTCAGGTGCAGAGGAAAAATCAAAATTTCTGTATTAAAATGTTAGATTTGAGATGTTTTTGAGAAATGTAGTAGACAAGGCGACAGTTACATAAACAAATTAAACTTTCAGTAGTGAGCAGCTTATATGAGCTGTATTGAAAATGCTTTATTATTTTCAATGCATGTGTTTTGCCTGCATGTAAGTACACCATTTGTGTGCAGTACCCCACAGAAACAGAAGACGGTGTCAGATCCCCTTGAACTGGAGTTACGGATGGTTGTTAGCTGCCATGTGGGTACTGGAAATTGAACCAGGGTCCTCTGGAAGAACAGCAAGTGTTCTTAACCACTTAGCATCTCTCCAGCCCCTCATGAGCTATATTTAAACCATGGGCTTAGTAAGATTCCCCAGGGAGAGACCAAAAGACACAAGGGCCTTGGAACTGAGGTTTGGCGTGCTGAGGACTTCAGAGGTCAAACAAAGAAAAAGTCTTGGACAAAGGGTCCACCAGTGAGGTATGAAGAAAAGGAAACAATCCCTGAATCCAAGAGAGCTGGGTGCTTTGAAAGAGGGATCACTGGGTCCTAATCATGATGAGAGTTTATGCAAGACAGGGGTGGAGGGGTCAGCTGGACTGTCAACCTAAAGGTCATTGTCACCTCTGACAAAAGCAAACTTTAGGCAGGACATGGCAGAAGCTCAGCAGGAATGGAATGAGCAGAGAATGACAGATGAGGAGAGGGAGAAACCAATATGGTCAACTCCAGAAATGTTCTGAAGGGTGAAAAATGAACTTGTCCTCGGAGGTGACTTACAGAATAAAAGGCAGATTGTTAAACAGCTGAATTGAGTAGAGAACTAGTAAGGTAAAGAGGTCAGGGGCCAGAGTGCAAGTGGGATTAGTTTTTTGTAATGGAAAAGAGAATATGACTTTCATTCAGCACCAGTCATCTCTTATACATAGTGCTAGGGAAATTGCTTTCCTATCTATTGTCTGAATAACAGGTGAGGTTGTTACTAGGGCTGTGTGTGTGTGTTAGTAGTAGCTTTCAACAGCCACTCTGGTTTTCCTAATATATTGGGGCAATACATTAGGATGGACTTGGCAATGTTTGGAGGTTGCCTGGGTTACAAGCCGATTTCTGCATAGCAAGCTCACTATATTTTTTATTACCCATTTTGAGGACTCTGATAATTTATAAAACAATTCTGAACGATTTGCCAATTTCTCTACTTACAAATTTTTAACTCTGATGATTCTGACCCATGGAAAGTGTTTGTATGGAAACGCCATAGGTACATTTTGTAAATCATTGCAAGTGTCTTATAATACAGCCAGTGGCAAAGGGTAAAACGGGATTTATCCTCCTAGGGGACAGTGTTTGGGAAACAAAACATTCCCTTTTTTAATGGAATGCCTTCATAGTGTGTTCATAAATAGTGTGTTTAACCTTGGCTTTGAACATACCCAATAGTAGATCCTAAGTTTTCCAGTTCATTAACAAAAGGCGTTCGTCTAAATAAGTGTAATACAGCAATTTTCATTAAGTTCGGAAAACAATTTTGATGGGTCGTTAAGCCAACTTAAATGTGATTCTTCATGCCTGTCACTTAGATGCACATTCTTGTGTTATAAGATTATATGACTATAGGTATTTAACTTTCTGGATTTCAGGGCTGTTATCTATAAATCCAGGGGGTGGGGGTGGGGGGGTTGTCCACCAAGGTCTCACTTAACTATAGTATTTCTGTGGTTCTGTTGCCATTTGTTTTAGTCTTGTGCAGGTCAAACTGAATTATTGTCTCCATAATTCGGTTTTGAATACAGCTAAACATCTCATGAAAAGGAATGATCTCCCTGGCCATTACTGTAAAAGCTTAGTTGTCTAAAGACTCAAAACTTGATGAAAGTGGCTCATACTCCACTTGGTCTACATTCTTGTGTGTCTTACTACCCACAGAATGAATAATGGTCCTGTTTTAGGACACGAAAAGGACGTTGGGAGAAGGACAACCTTCCGACTTTTTTATCCAGAATCTGTTTTTACAGATCCCAGGCACAGTGATCCTGAAACTACAGCGGTTTTCATTGCTTTTAAGCCAAATGATTTAAAGTGGCTGATAGAAATATTGGGAAGGAGAAAAATAGTAAGTTGGCAAAAATGATCTGCTTCGGATTACCTTCAGTAGTTTTTTTCCTTAAAAAAGAAAAAGACAATCACAACATCCCATGTTCTAAATTCTTTATTTCAGAATACTAATGGTTTTTGGAAGAAACCAGCCTTAAAACTGATCTATAAACCATACCAAATCAGAATATTAGATCCTTACATTATTAGAGCAGCAGCTTACGAACTGCTTCATTTTCCAAAAGTGTTTCCCAAAAATCAGGTATGTATGATTGTATTATTGAATGGGTTCCAACTAAAGATCCAGCTAAGGGAACAGAGGGAGACTGCTTTCAGAGCCATGGCTCATGTGGTATTTTCCTAGGACAACAGTTATATAGGACATTATATGGATATTATCTTTATGCCTTTTCAGGTTGCAAAGAAAGTTGGTATAAGTGGAGTTGTGGGCTTGGATTACTTTGTCTTTGTAGGGCTTTCCCAGGCCTTTTCTGAGTGTCCAAATGACACTCAGAAGAGTTTCTGTTTCTCATAACTGCATCTTCAGTAGTCTGCAATAAGGACGGCGTGACTAATTGGGCTGCTGGGCAGCCTTGTGCTCATAGTAGCCTCAGGATAAGTGCATAGCTTTCTGGAGTAAAAGAACTGTCTCAGATATTCTGTTAGTCAACTTTGTGTTACAGTGAAATATGACAGAAAAGCTAGTTTGGAAGAAAAGATTTATTTAGCTCAGTTTGGGAACTTAAAATCTAACATTGTTGGCTCCATGCTAGGAATGGCACATCATTATGAGAGTGTGTTAGAGTGCTTATATCTCAAAGTCAGGAACTAGAGAAGAGCCCTTTAGAGGGCACACCCCAGTGGCATACCCACCTCCCACAAGAATTCACCTCTTAAAGATCCACAGCACTTTGTAGTAGCACCACCCTGGGGGACCAAACATTTACATGTGTATGTTTTATAAACATTCACCAAACCATAGCACACTGCCAGAAATACCAGAAAAGCCTGAGAAAATGGAGGATAATAACGGTAGTCAAAACATTCTTCTGTGATCTCAGGGAAAACACTGGCTCAAAATTCTCGAGAAATGAGCAAGTTTGGAAGACGGCAGAGGACTGAGGAAGTTTGTTCTTTTGTTGTTGTTTGTATGCTGGAGGGATAGATTGAGAAGAAAGGAAAACTGAAGGGAGAAAGTGAGTAAATCTAGACAAAAGTTGCCAAGAGGAGATGGGATAATATGTACTGGATTAGTGGAGTTGCTTGAAGCTGCTTGGTTAGTCTTTTCTGAAAGTTTTATCAGGAGTATAAAATATAGCTACTTTAAGGCATACATGAATGAAGCCTTTCATGAGGCTGTTAGTGAACTGAGCTGTCCTTACATTTTGTTCATATGCTCAACTCGTGGGTTTTGCCTTTTCCATGAAGAGCCCGACTCATGCAATGATGCTGTTTTTGTTAAATATTACAGCAGGATACTATTCATTGACAGCTGTCCTCTGAGCTAATACTACAGCTAAATTTTATCAGAAAGGCTTTCCAAGATTTGTTTGTTCTTTTCAGAGTGTGCTGTTTGGGACTTGAGTCTTAGTTTTTAACGATGGTTTAGATGTATTAAATGTTCAGAAATTCATTTTTTAATCAGACTAGGCCAACCAAGGATGTTTTAGGAGCATGTAGTTTATCTGAATTTTTAAAGGTCTTTTATTTCTCCCTAGAAACCCACACACCCCACAACAGGAATTATTGCCATCACGCTGGCATTTCACATATGCCATGAAGTTCACCTAGCTGGTTTTAGATACAACTTTTCTGACCTCAAGAGTCCTTTGCATTACTACGGGAGGGCCACCATGGATTTGATGAGTAAGGTAATTTCTTTATTGCTGGAAGGCCCATATTTCTCTATTGTGTGTGTTCATATTTGTGGGTGCACATATATGTGTGGGTGCATTGGCAGTCTTAGGTCAATGTTGGGTGTCACTTCTTTGTTTAAGATGATCTTTTACTGGTCTAGAGATCAGATCAAGTAGACTAAATTGGCTGGCCAACAAGCCACAGGGATCTACCTGTCTCCACCTCCCCAGGCTGAGACTGCAAGTGTATACCACCAAACTTCTCTTTTTATGTGGGAGCTGGAGATCAACCTCGAGTTCTCACAAGCACTTTACAAGCTGAGGTAGTGCCTCAGCCCCCGATATTTTTCTTTTTATACTCTTGTTTTACTGGGGGAAAGAGGTTAGGGAGTCTGATGGAGGTTACAGAGCTCCTAAAGGTTCAAAATAGGATTGTGACCCAGAGGTCATTTTACTACAGCAATTTCTAATTTCCGAGCCTCAGATTCTTTGCATAGTCTCAGGGATACTGCTGTTTCATCAAATCCAAATAGGGAACAAATCTCATTTTAGATATTTTTTGTTTATACTTCTTAAATAACTTGGTGTTGAGATATACAAACTCACCAAATCCTCACTATGCTTAGGGTAAATATTTCCATACTTGCATTTTTAGTTAAGTAGACAGGTTGGTCTAGAGCCATGTAATCCAATGAAAGAATCTTCTTGGCTAGAAAGTGGCAGACTTTTTTACTAGGTCATGTTCTTCTTGACTAGCCATCAATACTGAAGGTTTGATCCTCATGGTTTTAAATTTATTGAATGGGAAGGAATCTGCTCTCCCCTACTGAATTCTTAGATTAATGGCACATCGTGACAGGATTGAAATGTTATCAATACATTTGAAATTTTGAAGTATGAGTGCACTGGTATATGGCTGCAGCTCATGAAATCAGTCCCTTCCAACCATCCTGAGATACTGCAGTGTAGAAGTGGTATTGTTTAGGGTGGATTTTACTGCTGATTTTTGTTCCTCTAAAATACGATATATACTTGAGCTTGGAACAAATTTGGGCTCTTTTCTCAGCCCTAGTCTTTCCTATAGTACTTGTGGTAATTCCAGAGTCATAGAAAGAATGTAACAGTCTATCTAGAATAGAATACTGAAACAATTTCCTTAAGATATCCATCAAGAGAACAGATTAACAAAAAAATTTTTTTTGTGGTGCTAGAGATTGGATGCAGAGTGTTGTACATACTAAGCAATCACTGGACCACTAAGTTACACACCCAGCCCCAGAATTTTTTGTAGTACTAGAAATTGAACCCAGGGCCTCACAAATGGTTATGCAACCACTCTGCCACTGAGTTAGTATCTAACCTCTTATAAACTTCAGACAGGGTCCTGCCTTGCAGCCCAGACTGGCTTTGACTTGTGATCTTTCTGCCTCCCTTTCCCAAGCAGCTGAAATTATTGACATGCACCATTATGTTGGGCTCAGAATTACTGTTTTTAAAGGTGGAGGTGGATCAGTAGTTCAGGGTCATTCTCCATTACACTGTTGAGTTTGAGGCCAGCCTGGGCTATAAGAAATCCTGTCTTAAAAACAAACCCAGTCTCAGCCGGGTATGGTGGTGATGCCTTTAATCCCAGAAGCAGGGGGATCTGAGTTCGAGGCCAGCCTGGTCTACATGGTGAGTTCAGGCCAACTAGGGCTACAGGGAGACCCTGTTTCAAAAAGACAAAATAAATAAAAATGAAAAAAAAAATCACCCAGTCTCAA